TTTAATTGAAAAGTCATATTACAAAATAGAAGACTACGTGTTATATAAAGATATATAGAAAGACGACGTAAGTCTAAATTCCCCACACATATGAGTCAAAGTGTATAAGTTTATCCATCGCATTTAAGTTTATTTGAAAAGAGCTCGTTCCTCTCAGGAAAGTTAGCACCCTGAGCTTAAAAATGACGCTTTCAAGTTATATAAAACTTTATCTATGGAATAATTGATTGTTTTTGACTTTGACTTTGATTCAAACCATTTATGTGCCACACAAAAATTTTTTTTCATATAAACAAAGTTGGTTATCCTAATTAAATTATAATAATAATGTCCCACAAGACCACATCGGTATTTACCAGTCCAGAAGCAATTTTGAAAATGCTGAGTGAGGCTGAATGTAGAAAAACTTTCATACATTTCTCACACGTGGCAAAAAAAGCCGTTAAAACAAATAACAAAAGTCTGCAACAAACACAGAGAAATTCAGTGAAGTAAATTCACAAAAACAATTGATTATTATGGTAGTAAAACTTCGTGCTATTCTAATAAACTTAATATTTATTTTTATAATTATTACTTTACTTAAAATCGTGTATCGCTAAAATGTGATCCCATGCACCACGCATAGATTTGCTTTCTTTAAAAACATTCCCCTTAATGATTATTAATCTATACTAAAGAAGTTTTATTTTAATGCGTTCTTGCTTGCTTGCTAAAACACATTATTGCTATAATCTTAATTATATAACATTAAAGTGCAAAATAAATCACGGTATTCACTTTTCTATTGTTAATGAAATGTAAAAGCTTGGAATATTGATGACTCATGGTAGAAAAGTAAATCATTGTTGTTTTATGTTGTTATTTCTCCTATGTATCTTTTGGGCCGTTCTTTATGTAAAGCGTTATTTGTGATTGTACGTTAAAAGTATGAAATAATAATGTTCATTACAAAATATTACCAATTATTACTTGCTCATAGAATCTCTTTAGAATAGACCGGTATCCACCCGTGAGACGTGATGTATAAAGTATTAGATAACGGATTTTTCAATTTTCTCAATACTTACGCATTGGATTTTTTTTCAAACCAACAAAGTGTTACTCCCGTTCTCCATCAGACATTTTTTTTGTAACTTTAAGTCGTGCGCCTGATGGTATGCTATACGCTTGTCCATAACAGTTACAGTGCCACTCAGAGCTTTAAATTGCAAAGATTTTAGGGGCACTTCCACTGCGCCGTCACCCTGAGGCATAAGTTGACAAGTCCCATACGCCTATAATTTCACAATTCACCCTTACCCTTCAAAACCGGAACACAGTAATGCTGACATTACTGCTTGACGACAGAAATAGGTAATGTGGCAGTACTTCCCTGGACGAACTCTTTCACAAGAAGCTCCACTGCTACTGAATAGTGTCAATGGAATGGCAGTGATGACATTCAATGGAAATTACTATGCATGTCTTAATTTTTTGTCTCGTTAATCAGCAATTTAGTTTTCAAAAGAAATCTGTATAATATTAGTAGACTACACGTTTCACCGATTGAAGGGCTAAATGTCAATGGCTAAATACTAAAAAATTGCAATGTCAATTGCATAAGTGGCTCGTGTCTGGCCACTGACAAACAACCATTTGTAACTGTTAGCAGAATATACATATACAGATATACGTACAATCTTAGAATAATAACGCATAGAATGATGGTTTCATATCAAACGAACTTGTCACAAGTGAGGTAAAAATCAAATTCATGTAGGCTAGTTTTAGTAGTAGGTTAATTTTCGGTTTTAGTCAATATTTTTATAAAAATACAAGTTCAAACACGCTACTTCCTTGTGGAATGTGATGTTAGTATCTATTTTATGTTTGTCTGGCGTATTTTTACACTCATTTACCGCACATTTCGTCATTTTTATCTAAAATTCTGGAGCTGTTCGCGGTGCAAATTGACCTTAAGCACTGACCCGCCCGCTCGTGTAGGCCCTTTTGGCGCGCTTCAATTTGCCTCACTTAGACTAGGTTTCTATGCGTTATTATTCTAAGCGTACTATATCCTGCCATTAGCACTCTAACGACATACAACTGAGAATTCAAAGTCAAAGAATCGTTTATTCCATAGATAATAGAAGTTTATGTGACTGTTACATAATGGAAGGCATTAAAATACGAGTGTTTTAAAGCCTAATTATAGACAGTTACATACACTGCTTTATCTACACATATAAGCTCTCTGTGATGTGTTCAGGAACCGCATGTTACGAATGGCGAAATGGCGGCAAAACTTTTGTCACGCATGTCACACAACCGTAGTTTTTATTTTTAATTGAAAGACAAACTAGAATCTGCCCTAACTATCATATCGTTCGATATCAAGTAACGTGTGAAATTTATCAAAATTGTTTGCTATTGACATTTATTTTGAACAAAACTTCGTCTCGACTAATATTAGAATTGAGGTCGAATCAAATTGTTTTGTTTTTCAGAGACGTTCGAAATTTGAATGTAATAATAACATCGAACTCGATGTTATTATGAAGCAATAATAACATTTTCACAGATAAGAAATTAGTTCTAACAAAACAGTTTATGTTTAACGCTGGTTGTAATTTGCTGTTTTTGAACACATGATAGAGGGTTTATGATACGTGTGTAGATAAAATAAATTTTACTTGAAAACGTCACATTTAAGCTACTGCTCGTTCACTACGCTAACTTCCCTGAGAAGAACAAGCAAGAAACTCTAGGGATTGCTCTTTTCAAATAAACTTAAATGCTTATAGGATACACTTTGTGTGTAATCTAGAGCCGTGCCGAGATGATTTGTGAGGATTGAGAGATCCGAAAAAATTGTTATATTTCCTGTTGTATAATCTATTCACAAAAAGCCACATCTGGACTTTCTTACTCGGTTTTAAGGAGATCTGCCTTTTGAATGTTCCTAGATGAAATAAAATCTATTCTGAATTTCTAATTGTTCATCTGGGTTGTAGGACTTGATTTTTGACAAGAGTGGAAGCAGTTTTCAGGCTTTCATTCGATAGAACTATTTCGCACGTATTTTTTATTTTCTTTAAATAGCCATTAAAGTTTCTGAAATTAAATTCAAATTTGAAAAAAGCAAGTTTCGTTTAACGATGGTATTGTTTTCAACATGCGATTTAATGATAAGTCTTGAGAGTTCTGGTGGAAGACTTTCTTTACAATCATTTTGATAATGAGTAATAAAAATAAAACACAAACCCACCGTCTTCTGTTAGTTCGTCAGCCAGCCAGCCAGCCATACATAACAGGCGTAGCTTTGGTGGAGCAATGAAATAATCCAAATAAATTATGAACTTACAGCTCGTTTGATTTGTTATATCAACATTGATAACGCGATGACAAAACACCATAGAGAAACAATCAGTAACTACTTTAGGTTGTTATCTTCCAAAGTTCATCAAGTTTAGATTTATTACTTCCGATTACTTAAATTATTTCTCATAATAATAATTAAAGCTCTTAGATAAAACCAAGAAAGACTTCGCGTCTGCATTCAAGACCTGTTACGCCATCTAGCGGAGAGTAGCAGAACTAATTAAGCTTTTTTACTTGTTTAAATTTAAAAAGTTTTTCTGATGTTGTATTACAAATATTTATTACGTGCTCAATTATAAAAAGTAATTGGAATATGCTGTTGGCTTATAAGATTGAAGTTTGCAATTTATTTAAAGGGGCGTTAGTAACGCGTGGCGCCATCTGTTATTGAATAGGAATATTAAACCAGGTTGGAAGAGAATAAATTATCCTAATACCCTCTTAATAATTCAGAGCACCGATCCCTTCAATGAGTGGCAATTTTTCGGTTCCCTTTCCCTAATTCAAAGCATCAATATTCGTGGTTGAAGTTTGTACAGCTATGGAATATACGATTCAATTATATATTATTGAAAAAAAATCGGCATGAGGTATCCATTTTTTAACAGTCTGTGGATACATTATTATTATGTCTAGTTATTCTTGCCGATGGTTTGAAATATGCATAGGTTTGTCTTTTGTTTTATTATTCGTTTCATTGAAACTCTGTTTGCGTACCAAAATAAAGCCAACTGAATGGCAGAGTTGTGGGCACCGCGCCAATTTTTGCCATTTCCATACACATTGCTCTGCGTTGCGTAGAACCCTATTTGTAAACACACGCCCCCGAACAAGGGGTCAATGCAAAATGGACGGTTAAGGTTAACGACTTTTTGTTTTCCCCGCGACTTCAAAAGCTGCGGATTAGAATGCGGCGTAGCATTCGGCTTTTAAAATTTATAATTCTAAGAATTTGAGTTTAAAGTTCGAAATTTTTGAATTTTCCAATTGTTCGGATTGGGTACTTAAACTCCTAGGCGTAAGTTAGGCACACTTTTTTAGAATTCAAGGATCGTTTTCGAGTTATTCGCACGAGCAATGGGATGCAAAGGGGATGCAAATCTGTTCTTTAGTGGCTTTTTATTGAAATTTTATGACTTGCTGTAATTTTACTGTCACGCTCACTCTTGGGAAAGATTGCGTTGAAGGGGAAAATAACGAATGCTGATTGGTTGATTTTTTATTGGCTCGTAATTAAGTTTTAATAGAATTCAATTTAATTTGGCTTAAAGGTGGTATTTTTTAGTCTCTTTTTATTACGGGCGTACTCGTTAACACAATTACATTAAGAAAAAGATTGTGAATTTATTTTGTAATCTTCAATATAGTTTTTTTTACTTGATCATTTTATGGAAGTTGGTTGTTGAACATTTTATTGTAATAGTATTTATCAAGTAAATAATAAAGAATTATGAATAAAAACAACGCAGACTGTTTTCGGCAGAGATCATTTCGAATTCTTTCTTTACTACAAAAAATAAAATACAACATAAAATTCGCTCTCAAATTTTATTAAACTAAATTCCTGATGTCTATAAAAAAGTACCAGCAGAGCAAAAATAACAAAGAGTTTCAAATTTCGAATTTCTTGATTGCAGACCGCCAGCGCACCATGGTGCGTCGATCCTCGCGGGGTTGGGAGCGGGGGGCGCGGTCCCCTCATACGCGCCCCCCGGGCGTGCCTTCTTCACCCCCCCGCTGCCTCCCGAGTATAGAAACCCGTTTGCTGACAAGCCTACGCTCCGAGGTAAGTTTGGTATTTGAACCTATACATTTTAGTTTTACATTTACGTACTATCGCTGCGAAGAATGTGTATCGTTTTGTTTCTAATTTTAATATAACACGACTTTCTAACTTTACACTATTTTTACAAAGTGTTCATGAGTATATAACTTTTTAAAGATTTTGTTTCTTTATAAAACTGCTTTGGATTAATTTTAGCTTTAGGATTTGTCTTGAACCCTGTGCCATTAAAAGTAGCTGGAAGGCATGTAAAATAAAGGGCAATATAGTTATTCAATTCGTCGCTTGGGGTTTTCCGAACCTTTCAATTTGTATATAGTATATATAGATATACTTAGAATAATAATGCATAGAAACCTAGTCCGCACACGCTAAGTGAGGCAAATTGAAGCGCGCCCAAAGGGCCTACACGAGCGGGCGGGCCTTCAGTGCTCAAGGTCAACTTGCACCGCGAACAGATTAGAAGAATAGAAGAATTTTTGCTAAAAATGACGAAATGTGCGGTAAATGAGTGTAAAAATACGTCAGACAAACATAAAATAGATACTAATATCACATTCCACAAGGAAGTAACGCGTTTCAATTTGTATTTTTATATAAATATTCACTAAAACCGAAAAATAACCCACTACTAAAACTAGCCTACATTAATTTGATTTTTGCCTCACTTGTGACAGTTGGTTTGATATGAAACTATCATTCTATGCGTTATTATTCTAAGTACGAGTAGATATATGGATTTTCACGAAAAAATTTCTGAACCAGACTACGCAAATAAATTGTTTACATTAAAATTTTTAGTCCGTAGTGTTGTCATGGTAGAATTGACAGTTAAGTGATATATATCGTATTTAACTTTTTTAACTTAAAAAGCTCTGGATTGGTGTCAACTTGGCAATTGTATGGTAAAAAAGCACGTCCCTGATGTATCTTACCAAGTTTATAAGGCAAAGCACTTTTCCCATCGATAGTACATTTACTTCACTAAGAAAGTATCAAATGACCATACTATCAGTCTTATATCGAAGTTGATAAAGTTTATTTTACACTAGAGACAGCGTCCGTTAATATAAAAGCCTGGAAATAATGGGTGTTTTCTATGAATAAATTTAATAGTATCAAGATTACTTCCATACGTGTAATTATTTTTAGTGATTATGCGTTTAGGTGATCACTTGTTAGGAATAATAATTATATAGGTAGAAAATTATTAAGAAAAAAAATATGCTGTTTTTTAACCGACTATTTTAAGAGGAGGGTAATATGCTCTTGTGGCGTGACCACTACGTCTTCAAAGAGCTCTCTGAACCTTTTCCGAAACTCATTCCTCACGATGCTAGCCTGGTTGACGCCATTCTAAAACAATGCAAATAATATCGACTCTGGAAAGCAATTTTGTCGTATCTCGAAAAGTTAAGAAAATTACTTTTTTACATATTTGGAATCGGATATAAAAAACCGCATTTTGTGGTCTAGGAGTCGTTATGCTACGACGATATTTTTTTATAATACGACGTCGTTATTTGACGAAACACAAAAAAGCTGTAAATAAAACTCAAGTTTTATTTTTCGAGTTACGGCGAGGTTGTTTTCTAGCGATGGTATTATAACCATTAAGGCACATGGCTTTTACTTATTCTTTAATTATGATACTATCTTTGACGGCGTGGAATAGCGGTTAGCAATGTGGGCGCTAGACGATCCAGGTTTCGATTCTTATTCATAATATATATTTGTAAAAACACATCTCACTGCTATTACAATAGTGTTGTAACTCAAAATAATATGTGAAATTTAATATTGTATCATTATTGAACCTAAAATTTGATTCTCTACATGTCAAAAAAACATATTGTAAGAAACAATCAAAAGATATCTACTTTTACTCAAAATGAGACACACTTTATGTGAGCTAGTTCTGGCCAAAATAACAAGAAATTATTTTTTCCTAAAAACCTGATTTTCAGTAATTGACAAAAATGTGCTTGATCCCTTTGATCCGTGATTTTGGTTGAGGCTACTATTTTCTAAAAACAACTATATATTTATTGAGATTTTTTTTGGGAAAACACTCCACTTTTTATTTATATTTACAATTTGTTATGATTATGAATACAGCTTTATGTTTTTTATCTGTATTGAAATGAAGTTTCTAATTATTGTGCTGCACTTGTTTCAGGCACGAATACAGACGGGAATAACTATCTCAACCGACGGCCGATCCCGCCGCCTTCACTTGGACCAGGTCACGAGCGCATTCCCATCCGGCCTCCTGGACAGGTGAGTTCCTGTTATAACCGGCAATTAGAATAGACAAAAAATATATCTGAAATATATTTTGTTCTATGTTTTCGAATTGCAATTCAATTACTATACTATTATAGCGTATTTGGATAATTTTCAGACTAGTTTTTTCTGCCTAATTTCGGTGGCAATTATGAGTATACTATAGTAAATACCGTATCGTATGATAATATTCTAGAATATTTAAATAATAAAATGTACCGCCGAAATTATGTAAGCTAATTTCACAAATACCCATTTAGAGCAATTTTCGTAAATGTGCGTTTTTTTGCATTTAATTTTTAGTATTGCCGAAATTTCGGAAAGAGGGAAGTAAGCACTCTATGTGTATTGAATAAATTTTGAATTTAATCGCAAGTGTCTTTTTACTAAAGTATTTAAGAAAAGTAACGCAATTACGAAATGATTTTATTCTAAATTTGTAATCATCCTTGTGTACAACGTTAATTTAATTAGGCTGTTACTGAGGCTGAATCGAATTTTCAAACATTTAAACGTACTAATAATAAACTTCTCTTCTGAAAAGTTGTTATTTTGCAGATATGACATTATTCCACTAAGAGTGCATTGTTTGATTAATATTAAAATTCATCTTAATTATATTTTTTAAGAACGGTAGGTAACGACAAAAGTAATTTGAATTTGAATCTGTGGATTACGGCCAGCTGCAGAATGCGCAAACTGTAGAGAATAATATATGACTCTAGAGGTACATTACATATGGTTTGTATAATGTGTATGAACAGATTTCAACATGAAGCTTAAACTATACGAGAAACCAACTCACGACCGACCTACTCGTAGGAATAGTTAACGCTTACATTGCACAATCTGACAATCTGACCATCTGATGTTGGTATCACCGACATGTTCTCACAGCACGGCTAGGTGTGGTGTTACCATTGTTTAGGATTTTCTGGGATAAGAATTTTTTTATTTGAAATATATTGGGCCCGTGGGAACTTCAGACCAAACCCTATTAATTGTAGGAGGAGGTCATATGGATTAGGGATGTCCGATTTTTTACATCGAATTGATTTTTTGGATCGTAATGCAGATCGGATTATGTGCTCTTAAAAATCGGATCATAATTAATTTTGACAAAAAAAAAATAATACTTTTGACAGCCGTTTCAGCCCCAGTCGGGTACAACTTTCATTTCGAGTCACAGTAGCTAGCAACAAACGCCTAATATAGTATACTAATAATTGTACTTAGATGTTGCCTAACTACCTTTCTTGCAGACTAATATCCAATAGGGTTAGCGTTACGATTCAGTAGGGGTTTAGAAAGATTTTTTTAAATTATGAATACGATCTAGATGATTCCATTCGCCTTAACGTCGAATCGATTTGCTTAAAAATTGTATTGAAATTAATCGACACAAAAAATAGCTATATACTTATACATTAATAAAAATATTTTTATTTAATTTTTTTTAAAGAGTCATTTTGAGTATTCATTATGTAGGTGACTTGTTGAAAATTTGAACTTAACACCCGGGAAAGTATTTTCTTCGATGTTTACAATATTTATGTATTCTAGGCAGAGATTGGGGCATGCCCGGGCGGTTTTAAAAACTAAATGTAAATAATAATATTTAGTTGTTTAAATCGAGTTTTACTCAAATGTAATGATACTTTTGTATACTAGATTAAACAATTTGACGATTTCAAGTATAAATTTGCCTACCAGTGAAGTAAAGACACAAAATTTATTTTACTTATGTAGCTTTTTACTAAAAACTTTTTTAATAAATTTAACAAAACACTGAGAGAGTCATAGTAGTCATAGCTTTTGGATAATTAAATTACCATTTATCTCAAACATTATAGAAGCATGGTAACCCTAATGTGACAATGCAAAACAATACGTCAGTCTATAAGTTTGAGCCCTATTCTAAGCGAAGTCGCCGCAAGCCAAATGAGTATGCAAATGTATTCAGTCTTTTAGTGCAGAAATGCTTACTTTATGTGCATATTAAAGTTTTAGCTTAGATACATAACCGTTCGTGCATTTAAACATGCGGAAAGGTCGACCTCGGCGTACATTATATCAATTCAGATTGAGAATGTCATTAGGACGATAGTAATAAGAATAAACAGGCGTAAAACGTATTTTTTTATGGTACCTAGGTTGTACAAGCCGTGCCCCTGATGGTAAGCGACACGCCTGTCCATAACAGCTGCCACTCAGAGCTTTAAAAGACTGAGTGGCACTGCCACTGCGCCCTGAGACATAAAGTATATAATAACTGCCTCCGTGGCCGAACAGTTACCATACTGGTCTGCCAGTCTGTTCACGGGTGCGATGCGCGGGCCGGGAGAAATATTTTTATGGCCTGTATTTATTTCTCTCGTGGTTGTCTATGTTGTTCATCACTAATGTGCGGCCTAGTGTACTGTATTAACGTTTTAGATTATTTACTTACTTTTATAACGGTTAAACATCAATATTTTTGAATTACAGGAGACTTCCTCACCTCAGGTGCCGGCTCCGCCTCCTGCGCCCCCGCAGCCGCCTCCTGGCGTCGAGCCTCAGAAGAAAAAGGCTCTTAACACACCCAGTCATAAGGTCAGTTTCACAACTTACATACTAGCATGGGTACTAAATAATGTTCAAGATAGGGTGTTGTAGGGTAGTACGAAATGATTAAAAAATATAATAATAATAAAATCGTTTATCCATCTCAACACGTCAATAAATAAATAAGCTACTTTACACAAAGTTTAGTAACAGACAATAGTGGTATATAAAATGATTTGTTGCTCAGCACAATGGCGGAGTGTTTTTCGGCGTTAATATTCTGCTACAGCCCTGCCATGTTCAAAAAGAGAAGAACTGACACATATCAATTAGTTTAAAAAAAAACCAGCAGATATTAAATAAATAAAAAGAATAATACTAAAATATAGAATATAAAACATTTATTGCGACGCCACATCACAAAAATACACTTAAAGAAACAATAATGAAAAGAGAAGTGAAACAAAAAACAACATCGAAGCAAACGTATCAAACAATCAAGACAATTTTAAATAATGTAATTTGTGCGGCTGTGGCATACGCAAAAATCAACTCTGCTAATGCTACAGCCGAGATTAGGCTGTGACGCTGGTTTTCAGTGGAATCTAAAGCCAATGAACAACAATAATAGAGTCGCAAATTATGTATAGATTTAATGTTGTAAATTCGACATAATCTAGCCAATTGAAATAGTTTTCAAGGGGTTCCCTATTTGAGATCGTTTGATCTAACATTAATTGCTCGAAAACGTGTGCCCGATTGTCCATTTGATCTATAAATGTAGCGTGAGTCTTCTGTACAACAAATGTATATATTTTTGTAAAGCATAATAAAAATCTGACCTATTTCTTTTATTTCAGCCTGATGAATTAGACACAGACACGAAGCAAGGCACCGACCAGGCGAACTTCACTGATTTCGTGCCGAACTCCCTTAACATCCCCACCATATCGCGGATCCTCTCCGGCTCCAACGGGAGGAAAGAGGACATCCCCGACGTCCTCCTCCGGACCGTCACTGCCAAACCTCAACACAACCCTGAAAAGACTTCCAAGAGTGACATTTACGTCACCAAAGACGCAGGAGTCACCCTAAGTGACGCCAACAGAGACTTATCGACAGAAGGATCGGTTCTCGCAGTGTTAGACCCGGAAATGAACAATTTAGATAGGCCTCTTATTATAGACAACAGTGAAACGAATACTAGGAGAAATCTCCAGTATTCCACAAAAGCAAACGAGAGTAAGAAGGAAGATTACAGTCCAGCCACGACGATAGGTTTCGAGTTACGTGACCCGGAAATGTCAACAGAGAGATATCACAATCTGCCTCGTAATTCTGATGCTGAAAAGAAAAAACAGGATCCAAAGAGTAACGGGCCTGTTCAAAGACCGGGGTTAACCTGGCCTTTCGCGTGGAACGTCCACATTTATCTAGCTACAGTAATGTTTACTATATTAGCCGTATACTCTATATTCAAAATCATATGCTATAACAAATTCACGCATCTATTCACGCAATATTACTTCATTATATTACATTTAATACTAGTTTTTGTATGTCTAATGAGAATATTTTATATGTGCTACGATCCTTATAATATCAATAATTCCCTGCCAGTATTTTTAAGCGAAATATTGTTGCACGTCCCTGAAATATTCCTTAGTATAGCGTTCGCTTGTACTATACTGTTTTTGTTGACTAACAGTATAAATTTCAAGAACACGTGTTGTTCTTTCTTGTTCCGTTCAAGAACTGTCATTGTTGGAGGTGGTTTGCATCTCCTCTCTTGTCTAACGTTGCATATCTTCGAAAATAGTAATACAATATATAGGACTCCGCTAGGAGTAGAAAAAAGGGTACTAGGGCTAACATGTCAAATTATATTTATTATAGCCTGCCTCACATTAGGCCTGTGCTACCTTTATGTATATAGAATGCTCAAATCTGTCCTTCAAAAGAAAAGCCACACCTATATTCACGGCTTCCAAAACTTGTATCAAGCTATACATATAAATTTAGCCACGGCGTTGTTGTTTGTTCTCATGGCAACTTTGCAGATCTACGGGATTGTTGGCATCAACCAGGTAAACATGACAAAGTTTAACTGGTTGCAATGGGGATATCAATTCTCTCTCCGTCTGATTGAAATCAGTATTGTAGCCCTTATATCTTGGGTTATAAGTTTGAAAGTCGGCATCGTGTCTCTTCAGCACGAGAAAGCTGATGGACATAAGATACCAGGCTTAGGATTATTCCCTTGCACTGCTGGTTCAAGCAACGAACAATTCGAAAATGACTATCCTGCCATATGCAGTACTAACACAAATCTTCATACTTACACTTTAAGAACTGGTAAACCAATTTACGAAAGCACTGGACATCACCCGAATATGCCTAATGAATGTTGCGGAGGTCCTGTTATAGACCACCAAAGATTCCAACTGAACACTCTTGCCGCAAACTGCGACAACAATTCGGGGACCGAGAACTATTCCGGTCACAGTTCCATCGCAAACGCATGCCATAGCAGCTCGACCGAATCAAGTAACGCGGCCTCAAGCCAGACCAATCATTTAATTAAACATCACCCTAACATGGCTGGGTATAACGGCATTGAATCGGCGTCTGACGACCACTATTCCAACTGTGATCCTGCTATACAATCCCTACAAGGAGAAGATCCTTTAGATCACGAATACAACGTCATACAATACGGCAGTAATAGCGACTTCATTCGAGACATCAAGAATCAGAATTACAACGCTGGTTCGAATCGTAGCTCGCACAATTTTAAACATATGTCGTATGATAGAGTGTCTTCTAGAACTAATAGCAACCCTAGGAAGAAGCACAGAGCCAAGAATAAGAACGTACAGAACTGTATGACGATGGGTTATGATTCCATGGGCCATCATTACCACCAACCTCATCTCCCTGATGAATATGGTAATTATAACACAGAGAATGCATCATACCACGCTTCGGGAATTCAAACTCTGAACCCAAATAGGAGTTACGGAGATCAGATAAGGAATTCTCAACGCAGGAATTCTCCTTCCACTTCAATGGTCAATTCCAGTGGCAGTCAAAAACGAGGTAAGAATAATAGTTTCCCCGATAGACCAAAATCAACCGATCTATACGGATTTACTGAAGATCCTAACGAGAGAAATTATCCTTGTGCTTTGGGGAATGCCCCACAGCCTGCACCAAGGAACTGTGGTTACGAAGCGTCGTACGCGCAACCGCAGGATGAGGTTAACCCTAGCGAAAGTGAAGGGAATAGCATGCTTGTAGCCCAAGATGGCTTCGTCAGATTTAGGCCTTTGGAAGATGGCCCATCCACTTGATTTACTATAAAACTGCCGTGCGCAGAGAACCTTAGCTTTTGATAAAATGTCATGATTATAAGGCATTTGAGGTCCTATCATGGAATCCGCTTCTCATCGTGTAAAGTTACTGTGTACAGTTAGGTTTAAATTTTATTTATAAGTAAGAATAACGGCCTCGTGTAAATAGCATATTTTTTTAAGTTTAAAAAAGGCATTTTGTAAAAAAAGTGCATACGATTTATGCCATTGATTTTTGGGAATGCAACGTTAATATCATGTCTATGTTAAGGTAAATGTTGAGTATTGTCTAAAAATGTTTACTTATTAAAAATACCGGAAGTCTAACTGATAACTATCAAAGAAAGATGTTCGAAAGCGGTGTATTAACTTGGGTGGTTTATTGTGCTCATTGTTTAAAACGACATTTAGTTTGCGAATTTTGTGATTTTTTTCAAATTCTCGTACTATTTTAGAAGTACTGTCTATTTTCGTACGTATTGCTAAAAGTTTTTAACAATATCTATGAATTCCATAAGCCTATAAATTGTTAATTCGTTCATTACTGTCTGTACTAAGAAACTACATTGTCTCAGTAGGAATGGAGGAGTCCACAGAATGGAGTAGTCCCCAATGTTTTTACCGATACGTAAAATATATTTCTATGCGAGAGTTATAAATGTGACATTGAAGGATTTTTAACTTTTGTCGTTACAAAGGTATCATTGCGAATTTCATTGCCATTTTACATATAGATAAGATTTAAGGGTTGATTTTTTTATTTGAATATTATTTAAATTTTTCATATTTTTTGAAATATGAAAAATTTTAATCTACCTTTTTTAACAACAATTAATACGAATAATTTTAAATATTATGTGATATAATAATTATTATTTTTGAATAATTCTGTCCATAGTTAAAGTAATTTTATGTCAAACAATTTTCATAAATTATTATCTTATTTTATGTCTCATAACACCATGAATACTTTGTCATGTCAGTCCATTTTTATATGAAATAATTGACATTGTTATTTTAACTTTAAGTAATTATTATGCCAATATTATGCCTCACATTTCTCTAAATATAAAAAATGTGTCTAAATATTTATCAATATATTGTTGTAGTTTTATACCATAATAAAAAAAATCTGAAAATAAGTGTTACCACTTTAGAATTTTCACATATAAGATATTGTAATAAACATTAATAAATGTTAATTTTTCCATAAAGTGCAAGTTATAAAATTCTGGCTATTCAGCTAATTATGACAAAAAAGCAACGCCTGCCATCCTGAATCATCTGTTAGTTATACATAATTATATCACAATCACAGAATATATTGATGTAGATATAATAAATTATGACAACATAAATGTATGTTACACATTTTAATATAGGAAATGAGATATCGCAAATTAAATGTTGGCACTATTGCAATAGATAGGTAAATATTATATTATAAATATAAAAAAAAATACTTGTATAAACTTAGACCGTTGCCTAAACATAGCACAGAATATTATGAAAAGTAATTGTAATAAATCTATCATAATTTAAAGAAATTAGGGAGGTTTGGTGAATTTTTCATAATGTTCTGGTCGAATTATAAGATCGATGTATATCATTTGTTTTATATTTAAAAAAAAAGTATTAAATCACACAAATACAGTTCAAAGAGACGTAGAATTAAAATGATGAAATGAGGGAAAAGTAATGAGCAAAGAATACAAAAAATATATGAATTTGGCACCATCTATAAAACTTTTTTCGTAAGCACTTCAAATGCGAAGGCAAAGCAATTTTTATATTAAAAAAAAAGCATCACTGATTAAAAAGAAGAGAAACCTATTGTGAAGCCAATCACCACCGCCTTCTCCACATCTTACCTAGTTCGTGGAGTTTAGGAATGACTCGAAAATTGAGGCTGTTTCTGTGTGATTTAAATCTAAAATTGTGGCGTTACTTAAGAGTGCTCACATATGAATTCCTATGTAAATACAACCCTTAAAATAAGTATGGTATACATGTATCGCTTACCATACGACGATGCCACTTTTTAATTTTATTTTTTTACATAATAAGCCTTATGTAAATAAATCAGGTACATGAAGTGCCCACAAATGAACACAGAGCGTTGGTTCGATTTGTTGTAAATTATAAAACTTTTTTTTAATATTTCGAAGACTGTACCTACTTTTATCGTTTAACAAAATGACAACTGACATTTACTATGTATAAATAAATAAAAAAATATAAATAAATTACGATGTTTTATTTTGTGAATATCCTATACATTTTTTTAGACACTAGCCACAGTGTAAAATGGCCAATGTTCACCACCCAGTGGTCTTTTTTATCATACCAAGTGACGGGACCATAGATATAGGAAAAAATGGAGAGATATGGTATGGGGGCGTTGTTCGTGTCGCCTCGAATGGTATGGTCAAAATGACCATATCCAGGTGACACGCCTACAAACATCGCCACAGTGACATGGCGATATACAAGATCTCTCGTAAAACGCACCTTGTAAAAATTGGAATGAAAACATTGACTTACGATTATATGGACGTCGGGTCCGCGCTAAAAAGTGTCGGAACTTATAGGGCGTTAAAATCGTATACAGAGCGTCATTCACGCTTTAGTCTTCATTTGTTCGACTGACAGCGAAGCAAGCAAAATTAGACAGTACTGCGATGACATTACAATTTAAATTCAACGTTTTAGCTTTTTCATATTCCTTTACATGTCACTACGTTTAAATAGGTTGACTTGGGACATTTTTTTCGTGGTTATTGTATTAGACCCGTCGTCCATTTATTTGTAAGTCAATGAATGAAAACAAAAATTTTAAAACCAGTGAGATAACATTCCACCGGCTATTTGCATTTTTAGTTACTATTTCTATTATTATTCAATGTTTTCTTTGTCTCCATAGAAATTTCTAGACTCAAATATAGTGATGTTCATTTACGAAGATTGATGTTTATCGACAATAAACTTTTAGTGAAATGTTTGAATTTCTTACTATGATTTTTGTAATTAAAATCCCTAAAATATCGAAGCGAAAAGCATTCACGTTAAATTGATTTCTTTTATTTTATTATTATTACTAAACATTTTATTTCGAGTAACTTTAACACAACTCATATTTCGGACAACCGTTTCAATTTCATATCAATTTGGATGTTGCTGTTGCTTGAAGAAAAATTTATGTGTTTTGGATATTTAAATTCCATTATACTCGTAGATTAAACGTGGAGTATTTTCAATTTTTAAATTTTTCCATTGAGTTCAAAATAAAAGGTTGGATTGAAGCTGCAGGAAAATCGAAAGATTGGTTTTCTTATTACTATTTCTGACGTTGTTTCAATTTCTATAGCAAATGCATTTAAAAAATAAATAAAATAAAATCGGCTTTATTTTACTTGTGCATGCAAAATAAATTAGAAACAATTATAGAAAATTACATAAATCCTTCATAAAAAAAACAACATAAATTAATTTATTAAATTCGTTGATGACAGCTTCACCAACCCGTGGTAACGTATAATGGAAAATTGACACTGGCGACGGTCGCCATATTTTTTATATTATTCTAATAAAACTGACACTGGTCCAAGCCTAGTGGCCGCCATTAAGAAAATAATAATAATTTATATTATATACCATATATTAATTTAATAATACACCAGTACCAGTGTAGATATAGTATGAAAAATGGAATCTTTTTTTTAATATTAAAAACAGCCACGTGGTTTCCAACTATCGATATGGTAGGACCACATCACTCGTTGAGTAGCGTCAGTTTAAGGTTAACAATTCACGGAGCGGTTTCCATCCGCGCCCGCCGGTGCTCCTAGACAGCGGGTTTATTTCAATACTTACGACCTTGCAAGTTTGTGCGGGCACGTAGCTGCCGCGGTTGCGGGCACGAAACCGTTGCGATTGCGGAACGGACCGCGAAGTTAGTGGGAGTTAATTGCAAGTCGCGCGGTTAATAGAGAACTCACCCTGCAACTCACTCACCTGCAGGCGCACGCCTGCACCACATTGCGCCTGAATCGACCGCCAATGTGCGGGCGACGACGGCCGCCAAGCGCGCAGGTCATCGCGTCCTGCGCGGTTCTACTAGTACCCTGCCGCAGCAACCGCGAACATCCGTCACCACTACAGGCGTAAAACGCGCTGTGAAATGCGCTACTAATTTTACATACTTAACTGTTACATTCTACAGATGCTGCGGTCCCGCGGCAGACGCGGGTGAAAACCGCTCCGTGAGTTCTTAGTGTAACGAAAAATGAGTTTCAGCGACCTCTAACGTGTAATAGTTAGTTATTATATACTAGTAGTATTTTTACTAAAACGCCACCTATTGGTGAATGGCTGAACCAGGATGAAAAAATACTGAAATATTGTAATACAACTCTTACTCAAGTGACTGTAAGTTTAATTTTGTTAAATTTTAAAATTGTTTTACGTCGTTTTCACGTTTTAAGCCCTACCCAACAAAATCTTTAAGTTATGGTAGTAGATAATAGAGCGTAAAGTTTGAATAGCACACAAGCTAAAAAGTGGCGACATCGGCACCCGATCTTACCTAGCGTCATTACATATCTCCCCTTTTTTTTCTATATCTATGGACGGGGCTAATAAACTTTGCACCTGACGTTAAGCGACACGCTTGTGCACTCAGAACTTTAAATCGCAAAGATCTGAGGAACACTGACACACAATTTCACAAGTCTCATGTACCTGCAATTTCACCAGCACCCTTATAGCCTATGCACTCGGCGTGTTTTATACGCGTCGACGAACGCTCAGATGACGCGTGTTAACGTGATTCAAACGCGATGCATCGCAGTGAATAACCTTTACATACGTTCACAAATTGAGTAGCGTCGTAAACGCGCGTCATCTGCGCGTATACACGCTGTAGGCGCGATACGATAAGAGATAGTTTTAATTTCAGTTTTGTTTGTTAATATCAGTTATTTTTTTAAACGAAGCAACTTTAAAATATAAAAACATGCATACTGCGTCTTTCTAACACAATAATCATATGCTAAAAGAAATAATTTAAATGTACTAAATTATTACTATTCATTTTTGAGTGTTTATTTTGCATGCACTAAACACGAAGTGTGAAAAGGATTAAAAATCTCAGCAAAACTTGTTTTCAACATGAAATTCTATAACCTTCTTGCTTGCAACGCGATATTTGCGCGCGATACAAACGAGCTACAAACTGTATCGCGAACTACTTCTATATCGCGTTGGAATCAATACAAACGCAACAATCTGCCTATTCAGCCGCATTCGTCGACGCGTGTAAAATACGCCGTGTACATAGGCTCTTACCCATCAATAACCGGAACGCAGTAATGTGACCATTACTGACAGGTCTCAAATCTGCGTCTGTGTTATACCTAGGCGACCGCTTTAGCAACCGAACTTCAGATCGAGTCAGCAAACTTTTCTATAGATTTATTACAAGATCAAAAAATAAATTACAAAAAAAAAAACATGCAGGAAAGAAATATTTATTGTCAATTACATCGATTCAAATAATACACAAATTATTGTACAGTCTTATAAATTAACATCAGTATTATTTAACAAGTAAATAATTTAAAAATTTGGGAAAAAAAATCACATTTGATTCTTATTGAACCGCACCGCAACGCACAGCGCTCATAATTAAGCGTGTTTTGGCGATGGGCTGTAGATTTAGCGTAGATAGTTTCAAAACTGTCTAATTGGCTTCACAGCCATCACTCGTTTTCTAACCCCGCAATATTATCTATTTTTCATAACGCCCCGTTAAGATTGTCACTGCGTTTTAGACAACCATCGCTTGTTTTGTAGTGATTGTAAATGTTGCTATCTCGCAACGCTGTATATAATCACTCAATAGATGTTGTCGTTGTGGTTGACGACGTAGCAGCACCGCAACGGTAAGAGCGAGTAAGATATAGGACAGGACGCGTCCTGTTTGCACAATGGATGATTGAATTTACTATGAAATTGATGACGTTTCGTTGTTGCATAATGTGACTTTTGTGTTATGAATGAAAGTCGTTATTAGAATGAATAACTTTCGGAAATTTAAAATTTTTGGACTTTTGACCTGGACATGTGTAACTTCAGGGTCTCATTTCTTTTGCGATTGTTGTTTCTAAATTAGATAGTAATGAATTAGTTTGCTTGTAATCGCGTGTGGTGATAGGCATACTTATTATTTGTTTACTGATCGTAGCGGATTGAGCAAATTAGTTTTATTTTAAATGAGACTGTATAGTGTTTAATTGTAAATAAATAAACCTGTAATTTTGTGCATAATATTTATAAAACTTTTGGGTTGTAGCGTAATGTTATATATATGTTATATGTTATATATGTTATATGTTATATATATAATGTTATATATAATGTTATATAGACAAGATTTAGGCTATCAAATGCAAAAATATTTTTTCAAATTCAACTGAAGTTCCAGATGGAGCTTTTAAACAAAAAAAAAGACAACGAAACAAACTGCAGCTTTCTTATTTTAGTTATGTTATGATATCAATTGTAACTGTTTGACAACGCTTCGTTACTTGCGCGTAGTCGAAGTAGACAGTTGTCAAAAATAGATAGTTTTCTCAACGTTATCTAAAAACGCAAAACGGTTTCGTTGTGTTATTTTAAAAAACCATAACGACACATGACTAGTGTGTTTCGTATGGCACATGAATAATGCGCCATATTGTGGCGCGTTTACACTAGGTCATCCGAGTTTGCCCAGTGAATCATTTAGTAAACAGAGCGTCGATCGCACCGCAGTTGTCAGCAATCAACTCGGTGTAAAAAGCGAGTCGACTGCGCCTCTTTCGGCAAGGCGAAGTAGTCTGCCGAAGGCGGCTGTCGATCCTTTGTAAACAAGCCATTACGTCTGCGCAATAGGAATGTAAATGCGACATGATATACAGCTTGACCAGTGCAGTGGTTGCGTTGTTCACGAGTGTGATGAGCCAAGTAGGGTCAATGTCTAAGGCGCCACGTAAACGTGTTGTCTTGTGTTGATTACAAGCAACCGGCAACTAGAAGCGATTATTTTATTTCTTTTTTTTTATTTTACTTATTTATTATTATATATCTAGTTGCTGGTTGTTTGTATCCAACACAAGATACACGTTTGCGCAGCGCCTTAGCATGCATTTAAAGCTAGTTGTACCAGAGATATTCTAGTAAAGTTATAAGTCTAAAAAAAACTACATTGACATTTCATGTTTGATGTATATCAATAGAAATATAAAGGTTACCTAGTCATGTAAATTGCAATAAATAAATAACCGTGGAATTTATGCTTGGCGACAAACACCTTTACGTCGAGTCACCGCCGCGGAAGCTTATTATTAAGGCTGCTAACAAATCGACTGCGTGTTTGCAGTCGCGTCAACTTCATGCAGTCGAGACCACGACTGCACGAAGTTGACCACGACTGCACGAAGTTGACAACGACTTCACGCATTAACTGCAAATATGCAGTCAATCTGTTAGCAGCCTAAGAACCACGGACCAGTTCGAAGAATGTCGAGCAAAACTTCAACCTAAATTCGTGACTTATCCGTTACTTTAGTAAACAGGCATGTAAGGTCACAGAATTAAGTAAAAAAATTACGCAAACTGCTTCTCTTTCAGTAAAGAATTTGAACAGGGCCCCAAGGTGTTACCAAGGGTCCCAAATGTGCAAATTTTGAATCATCTCGGTTGTGTGCAACGGCATGTATTGACATGCTTTTTACGCACTCACTCTATCGCTCGTGATCAGGAGCGTACGCGCAAGTTCAAATTTTTAAGCTAACGTTCTCATGTTTGTTTTTATAGCAACGGAAGAGCGTCCGTGTTAATGCATCCGATGCATCTCGCACACAAAAATATTGACTAAGTTACTAAAAATAGTGACTAATTGTAACGCAATGGATTTGATTTCCCTTACATGTAATTTCTAAAATTTTAATTGTGTTCATGTTAATTAGCTAATTTGAATTTGAATTGTTATTTTATCAATTGTACATTTTAGTATTTTGAATTTTTACTAAATTATTATTATTTCGGTGAATTTTATATTATGTATTTTGAATATTTTGACATCTCGATTTTGAATATTTTAATGTACACTTCATATACAATACATACACCATAAATTCACCGTACAGTCAGTTGTTACTAATATAGTATAAGGTTGCTTACTACAAACTATGGACCTATGGTGTCTGAAAATAAAAGATTTTTATATTATTTATTTATTTTATAAAGGCAATCTTAGAACGCTCAAACGCGCGCGCAACTGGTGAGCGCAATCGCGCGGTCTTTCCCTTTTTCTTCCAACATCTGCACACGCTCAATCGCACACGATTGCCGCATCAAGTTGCCTGCTTATCGGTATTTTACAGGATATATCACGGAGTGTGGGATGGAATTACCTATATAATACTCCCCTTTTGTGGATTCCCTGAACGTTGTGACGTGGTCCTTTTTTAAGGCGAAAGTGAATAGGCATTACTTAGGTGTGCATGCTCCATCGTAGACCCCATCGTCACTTTCCATCGGTGAGATGGAGGTCACTTAAATTTGCGTAAAAAAAATGAAGATTGTCTGTGTTAAACCCTCTAAAGGCAGGATTTTGTACGTTTTGTATTCACTTGAAAGTTAAAAGTAGGTGTTATCAGTGGTATCTCTTCAGTGGCGGTCGCACGTAGATGGCATAGTCTACTAATTAATTGACATAAAAAGTATATTTAATTTGAAGACTAAATTGCTGAATAAACGAGATAAAAAATAAGCTAAGTATTGTAGTATTTAAGGTAGTTTTAGTAAGGCAACATCGATCGTTTGTGATTGAATGAATTAATGCCATTGCTGCCTTTCCGCTGACACTCTATTGTGAGCATTGACTTACAAATAAATGGACGACGGGTCTAATACAAAAACCACGAAAAAAATGTCCCAAGTCAACCTATTCGAAATTTAAATTGTCAATTGTTTAAATGTCATCGCAGTATCGCGCTGTCCGTAGAACAAATGAAGACTAAAGCGGAGTGTCGCGCTCTGTATACGATTTTAGCGCCTTACAAGTGCGGACACTTTTTACCGCGGACCCGACGTCCATATAATTGTAAGTCAATGATTGTGAGGTAACTGCCATTGCAACTAGATTTTATCAGAATAACAAATATTATTTTATCTACACACATATCATAAACTCTCTATAATGTGTTCAAAAACCGCAAATTACGACCTGTTTTGTTAGAACAAATTTCTTATCTGTGAAAATGTTATTATTGCTTAAAACATCGAATGGAATTCGATGTTATTATTACATTCAAATTTCGAACATGTCTGAAAAACTACTCAATTCTAATATCAGTCGAGATGAAATTTTATTCGAAATGAAATGTCAATAGCAAACAATTTTGATCCACATTTAGCTGTCAAATTCGAGTGATAAACTTTTAAAGTGATAAAATTTTAAAATTTCATCACAAAGCGAACAAGGCGAGTACCGTGGCGTCACATTTTTATGTCATCGCGAGCGCCGGCGATCAATGACTGCCAGAGATTAACACATTGCCAAACATGGCTGCAAGATCACAGCTGATTTTATATTTAAAACATTTGCACAGTAATTTTGTCAACATAACGATTGAGCGCGATAAACGAGATGAAAATACATTTTTTGTTTCATGGTCTTCGCGGCGATGATTAACGGACAAAGATAGCTATATAAGCAAATTTACATCGTTGTCCTGTTCTTCAAAATGTATAACAATAGTTCATTAACAAATAGATAAACTTAGATTTATCAACTGAAATAAATATTGTCACGGGGAGGTTTATCACACACACTCTGCCATGGAATTACAATAACCAGTGGTTTATTGGGACCCTGTTTGCATAAATTTATGTGTTGTTCTTTGTACATACAAAGACTAATTGTTAAAAAGTAAGTTTGTAACCAGTACAAATATTTTAAAATAATTAGAATTTTCTAAAGAACAATTATTCGAAATAATACTTACCTTATAAAAGAAAAACTACTTCTAAACGTGTACGTAAAATTAGATTTTTACAGTCATCAATCAGGTTTAACAAAGTGTACACCCCAAGACAATTACAGTGAAAATCAATTGTAAAGTATAACTACACTGCTAGTCATGGGCCTGCACTAAACTTAAGAAGATGATAGTGAGCGTAACATTGAACAGTATTCATCCAATTATTTTTTTTTACCAAAAATTACTAATTAAATATTTGCAATGCATGAAAATTACATTTTGGATACTTCCAAATATAAAGTTATTATGTACTTAATATCATTAAAAGTAATATTGTTGACAAAAATTGAACGTGGGTTACACCACTATTGCGCTGATAGCCTCCATTATAGAAGTTCCCGAGCCCTAGTTATCAATAATGCTCGTATTTCAATTAAAAAGCCTCATCATTAACGATAACCTTACTATTCTTATTTTTCTTAGCAGAAAACTGTTCACCTAATAATTTCATAACCTGTGCATGCGTTTTGGTAGCAACCTTCGTAGTACTATAGTTCTCTTTTACATATTTAGCGAAGTCATTCATTTCTCCCTTTCTAGCAGGCGTTGAGACAATAAGTCCATCCTTGTTTTTCTTATTGATTATGATTTCGAATGTGCCACGGCAATAGCCGCATGCTTTCTTCGTGATGTCTATTGATTTTGAGTGGCGTTGGATACTAGAAAAAAAAAACAATGCAATATAAATTTGTGCAACTAAGTACAAAACAAATAGGTTACTTTTATTGATCCCCTTAGAATAATAACGCATAGAAACCTAGTCCGCACACGCTAAGTGAGGCAAATTGAAGCGCTCCCAATGGGCCTACACGAGCGGGCGGGCCTTCAGTGCTCAAGGCCAATTTGCACCGCGAATAGCTCCAGAATTTTAGGTAAAACTGACGAAATGTGCGGTAAATGAGTGTAAAAATACGTCAGACAAACATAAAATAGATACTAACATCACATTCCACAAGGAAGTAACGCGTTTCAACTTGTATTTTTATATAAATATTCACTAAAACCGAAAATGAACCTACTACTAAAACTAGCCTACATGAAATTGATTTTTGCCTCACTTGTGACAGTTCGTTTAATATGAAACTATCATTCTATGCGTTATTATTCTAAGTTGATCCCGAAACATTCATATACGGCGTATGATTTCCAAAGTGATCTACATCGACCCCCAGGGTCTCTGTCACTCAAAAGGGTCATGTCATCGACATAAAAAATAAAGAATGGCACCATTAGAATTACTTTAAAATCCAACTTCGACTTCCTAGGTCAGTTTGTCCTATAATGTAGTAAAACCATTTCCGCAAAATCCAGAATTCGAAAAAACAATTAAGTAATATACTCTATGTCGCTCCATATAACTTCTGTTTGTTCTTTTTTTTATAATAACGCACACACTCAACATAGCCCCGCACTAGGGAAACCCTGTGTCGCGGGTGCCATGGACACACACATAGACAACCACAAATTACACCCAAACTCACGAGAGAAATAAATGTAGGTCATACAAATATTTCGCCTGGCCCAGGAATCGAACCTGGGACCTCTGCGTGGCAGTCCGGCATGGTAACCGTTCGGCCACGGAGGCAGTTAAACTATGCCTATACATGTATCTATATATGTGTAACACCATTTTCCGACCGATGAATATAACACAGCAGTAACACAAAGTATAAAGAACACATAACACAAATATTTAAGTAGTTTATTTTAAGTTCTTTTATCCGTCCGTTACTCATCTCGGCTCAGGGCTTATTGGAAACTGAATACGCTGAATGAAGTCCTTTTGCGTACGTCACAACCGCACATATGACAGCACAAAATTTGTAGTCGTTATATTTTATTTTTTGCCTTTTGTCAGATTTGTCTTATTCATCGGGTATATAACCAGAAATAGAGACGAAATAAGGGTCATACATACCTGGTAACTCATCAGTGATACATCACTTATAAATATCAAGTCTCGTTTGCACTGAAATTACAAATTAGAAAGCTGAAATAGTACAGCGTAACAAGTGACCTGTGTGTGCTTCTGCGTATATCCCAAAAATATTCTGCATTTATTGTAATAAAGATAATATCTCTAACAATGGCGTGCTGTTACATATGGTGGTGTGGGTAAAAACAGCAAAACATCTAATTACAAAACAAACGGAATCAAATTTCATCGGTAATTAAATATTAAATAGGTAATTTTGCAATTTTCGTCCATTACAGCAAAGCTCAAGTTAGCTGGTTGATTTGAAGTGAAACAATTGACGGGTGTCGTCGCAGTTGTCACAGTGATGATATGGCAGAATAGTTTTCAAACAAATTAAATGACATTTCGTCTCTGTTTCTGGTTATAAACTCGATGGTCTTATTTTATGTTGTTTTTTTATTATATTCTCTATTTTGTATATAAACTACTATCATTTTGTTTTGTTTGTCTGTGTTATCAATTTTGGTATTTTCTATACATATGTACAAAAAAAAAAAATTTAGAAAAAGTTGTGGCGTTGCAACAAATGTCTATTCTATTCCATTCTATTGTAATAAAAACTCTCATAAATTTTACTAACCGGCGAGTACCTTACACCGATTGGTAAATCCTATTATCACGATTGCAGGTAAAGTGTATGCCATTGGTACGATAAGAAGATTATGAAGAGCGCACTAGGGAAACCTTGTACCTCGGGTGCAATGGACACATGCATAGACAACTACAAATTACACTCCAAATCACGAGAAAAATAAATGTAGGCTATATAAATATTTCTACCGGTCCGGGAATCGAACCATGGCCATCGACTAGCATGGTGACGGTTCGGCCGAGGCAGTTAAAAATTTTATAATTAATCAGAAGCTTACCTGTACCCGCATTTGGTACATTTGTATGTGTACTTGAAGTGTATATCCATTGTATGACAACGAGGTATATCTTCTAGCTCTGGAAACACCATTAAAGCTTGTTTCGCCCTGAAATTGTATTTGGGTAAAGACTAAATTCTATAGATGAGAGGTAAAGAACATTAAATGCCATATAGACTGTGAACTGGCAATCGGTACTATCTTAATTTTGACTTTTTTTGTTTATGACATCAAGTGATGAAGCCGTGCGCGAGATGGTAAGCTATACGCCTATCCATGACAACAACAATGCCACTCAGAGCTTTAAATTGCAAAGATTTGAGGAGCACTGCCACTGCGCCCATCACCCTTAGAACGTAAGTTGACAAGTCCCATGTGCCTGTAATTTCACCAGCACCCTTACAAGAGAACAAATAAGCAATGAGAACGGACACTCTCCGCCCCTCCCTAGCTTTAGATACCGCACCACGCTCCGCACATTGACGGTAACATTGACTGAACGAGAACAAGGCTGTCGGCGAGCCGTTTTCGGGTTAAGACGGCTTTGATATTTGAATATAGTTTTCATTTATTAATTACGAAACTTGTACGTTAATATACAACATCATTTTGCGTTACTATTTATAATGGTCGGGAATTGTGCTGTGTTTATCATCATCTAAACGGGATAAAGAGAGCAGTTTCTTACGTTTTTTGGAAGATGAAACGTAGTAAGTTAATAAACTTATATCTGAGACTCATTCAGTTATTGTTTTCTTTAGTGCAGAGTAATATATAATACAGATTTATTGTATCAATATAATAAGACGCCATAACCTCGTGAGCTAGACAAGGGTTCTCGAAATTTCAATTTTTATTGCCGATAAATATTACGTAGTGAATATACCTAATTATTAACTAGGTAAAGTTGGACACGCAATTTTTTGGTTACCTTTTTTAAAGGCACCTGTCCAAAGTGCTTTTAATATATTTTTTAAATAAATCTTCAATATTATTCTAGTTAGTGAATTAATGAAAAATATAATATTATATCGACATAAATACGTAATGAACTGTAATGAATGTTTATAAATGAATTCTATAATAGAATTATAGATAACAGATTCGCGTTAGAATTTCCGCTATGTTGCCGCTCTGACCACGTAACGTAATAGTACGAGCAAGTGATTGGTAACCCTGCCACTTCACGCACACATTTGCGTGTGTGCAGGTAGCGCCGTTGCTGTATGTAGTAGTAGTAGGTAAATAATTTTCGACCGTTGTATGGAGTGGCCGGGGTGTGACCCTTACCCTTCAAAACCGGAACACAGTAATGCTGACATTACTGCTTGGCGGCAGAAATAGATAAGGTGGCAGTACTTCCCTGGACGAACTCTTTCACAAGGAGATCTACTGCTACTAAAAAGGACGAAGAAAAAAGTTGTTTGCGTCATTTATATAGCATCTGGTTCATTAAAATATATATATATATATATATTAAAATATATAAATATTTTTATTACACATGTATGCACATACACTCCGTATTTTTACTCAATAGGCCAGATGTTATGTAAATTATTTTATCTTCATCCCGTTAAGTTGACAAAATTGAGACAGTACCGGTTGCCAGTTCACAGTCGATATAGTAAATTTTACTACGAGCGTTTTGAAGAGGCTCTTAATTAGGTACTTAAAATCAATCTTATGGCGAAATAAAAAATGCTAAATAAAAAACAAAAGACGTTAGGACATAATGTCTTTCACCATTGCGTGATTATTAGCATTCTAAAAAAATGTTTGTAAAAACATATAAATTCCAAAATATGTAACCCCATATTTTCATTTATCTTTCAACCTATTTAAACGTAGTGACATGTAAATGAATATGAAAAAGCTAAAACGTTAAATTTAAATTGTAATGTCATCGCAGTACTGTCTAATTTTGCTTGCTTCGCTGTCAGTCGAACAAACGAAGACTAAAGCATGAATGACGCTCTGTATACGATTTTAACGCCCTATAAGTTCGGGCACTTTTTAGCGCGGACCCGACGTCCATATAATTGTAAGTCAATGATGAAAAATGAAAAATAAAAATATCTAATTAGATGTTTACCTCTACCGTGAGCTAAAGTATTTGACAATTTAAATTGACGAATTGTATAGCGCCCTCTAGTGGTCAGAGTAGCAGTAGAGCGCCTTGTGAAAGTGCTCGTCTAAGGAAGTACTGCCACTGTACCTATTTCTGCCGCCAAGCAGTAATGTGAGCATTGTTGCTTAATGGTTTTGAAGGGTAAGGGTGCGGAGAAATTAAATACACATGGGACTTGTCAACTTATGTCTCAAGGTGACGGGCGCAGTTTTAATGCCCTCAGATCTTTCTAATAATAATAACGCATACACTCAACATAGCCTTGCACTAGGGAAACCTTGTGTCGTGGGTACCATGGACACACACAGACAAATTACACCCAAACTCGTGAGAAAAATAAATCTAAAAATATAATATTTGAATAATATTTATCTCGGCCCGGGAATCGAACCTGGGACCTCTGCGTGGCATTAACGGCTTCGTAACCCTTCGGCCACTTAGGCAGTCTGTGATTTAAAGTTTTGAGTGGCACTGCAACTATTATAGACAGGCGTGTCGCTTACCACCAGGCGCACGACTTGTTCGTCCCGTCAGGTGGGGCCTCTAACGGGAAAATAAAATTGCCTACCGACATACCATTTCTTCCACAACGGTCCGTGTCTAGCCTTAAGCTCGCCGTCTATCAACCACGTGGCGGCGTGACACAGCTCGTGGATCAAAGTGTTGCGCAGGCGCTGCGGTCGGTCCAGTACTTTCGTTGATAGCTTTATGCTCGACGTGCGTATGCGGCCGTTGTTTGCCGTTTTTATAAGGCGATTTATTGTCATTCTGCAAAATAAAAAAATATATTAAGTTAAAAAAAATGCTTTTATTAATGTTCACTCAAGCTACGTTGCCTGTGGATACACAGCTTGGATTTCAAGTAATAGTATAACACCTGCATGTGTTCAAAGAACAATGGCAAACTCCTATATAAAATTTTGTTGATACGAGTTGTATGCGTCTGTTTATAAAAAAGTATGTGAAAATATAATTATTAATACAAAGATCGAACACTCAGAAAAAATTCCTTCGATCCGGCCGGATTCGAACCGACGTCTTCTAGCATACCGTGCCAGACGCTATACCAACTAAACCACGTAACGAACCAGCGGACCTCACCAATTTTTCTGTGCTTGTCTGTCTTTGTATTTGGTTTTTCAACGACTTTTTAGCCGTAGCTCCATCCATGAGAAATCTATGATATTTTGTCACCCAGTTAGATACCTTTACAACTACCAGCCCCAGCTAGAGATGTCGCTATTCATTGTATTGTATTGTATTGTGAAAATATAGTTTAAATTCCTCAACAAATTGAAGATTTACAACAAATTAACATCTTTAGTTTGAAGTTTTGGAAGTTATATTTTACATATAATTGATTATAATATATTCGGTGTATTATTATATCAAAATAAACTACAGAAGACTTCTACAGAGTTAATAGAAGCTGAATGGTGCTGTTGGTTTGTGACGTGACGAAAGTTCAGATAGTGCCACATGCACAAGGCGCGCGCGAAACAGCGATATAATGACGAGTCGTCGCCTGGTGCGCGCGCAAGTCAGTAAGTTCCAAGAGACGAAAAGAGGGCGCCACTATCGGAGAGAAAACGGAAATGCAGACTTAAAGGGTAAAAAGGCAGGCGCTTGATTCCGAATCACAACTCAGACGAGTACGAGATGCGAAGTGGTGTCCAAGATGGATTCTGGATATTGATACCGAACAAATAATACCATGCCCTGGTAACCCTGGTACAATTTTCTTTTTTGTGAAACATGATGCCATCTATCCCCTGATATCGGGAACTTTTTTACGACTTTCTCGTGAGACATGTTTAGAGAAGTGGCATATTAGAGTGTGGTGGGCTATGACCCGAGTTCTCACTTTACCCGCGTTTGTGGATTTAACCCTGAATACGGAGAGCGTATTGGAGTGAGGTGGGCTAGGATCCGAATTCTCACTTTACCCGAATTTGTGGATTTAACGCTGAATACGGTGGACGTATTGAAGTGTGGTGGGCTAGGACCCGAATTCTCACTTTAACCGCATTTGTGGATTTAACGCTGAATACGGTGGACGTATTGGAGTGTGGTGAGCTATGACCCGAATTCTCACTTTACTCGCATTTGTGGATTTAACGCTGAATAAAGTGGACGTCTTGGAGTGTGGTGGGCTAGGACCCGAATTCTCACTTTAACCGCATTTGTGGATTTAACGCTAAATGCGCTGGGCGAATTGGAGTGTGGTGGGGAATGCCCCGAATTCTCACTTTACCCGCTTTTGTGGATTTAACGCTAAATACGGTGTGCTTATTGGAGTGTGCTGGGCCAACCACAATATATACTCACAATATATATTGTGGTTGTTCATCTAACCGATATTTAGGTTTTTATAATGCTCCATGTGAGTAACGAACTTTGCCTAATGAAACTGAGAAATGCTAAAGTCACGTGTTGTGCTCATTTCAGTGAATTCAAAACTTTAAAACGCTCCCCTGTAAGCTTGGCAATTTCGACATACGATACTTTACGTACTACTTACTTTACATACTTTACGTAGGAGAGGTCGATATATCAAATACCCAATTACAAATAGTCATGTGAAGCTATTTAATGAAACCCGCTCTCATTTGTGAGATGTGTGTTACGTATTATTGTATTACTACACTTACCCCGCGGTACTCCTAAGTTTGGTATCCCAAGCAATGCTCATGTCAGCGTCGAGTGCATCGTCGAACACATGTTTGTTGAACTCCACGTACAGTCTGCGCGTGAGTTGCTCACGCAACGCCTTGAAGTCGTCCCGGTACTGTATCGCTTCGATGTGACAACGCCAGGGTGGGACGTTGTCTGGAATTTTGGATTTATACATTTGTAGATTTTGAAGTTTGCTGATAAATTCTCATGGAATGCACTGGTTGGGCTTGTCTTGTTTCAAATTTATCAATACATAAAATAATTATGTACTTTAGTTATGGTGAAAGATCGAACACACATATTTTTTTTGTCGAACCCACGTCCATGCTGCACCGTAGCATTGCCTTAACCATCCGAGCCACGGGTCCAGTTACCAAGTCGTCGTCGTCGTTCACAAAAAAATCAATAAAATAAAATAAATAGAAGCAGTAAACTACATGTATTTGTACCAGTAGAGTTCCTTGTGACAGAGTTCGTCCAGAGATGTACTGCGTTCCAGTTTTGAAGGATAAGGGTGCTGGTGAAATCACAGGTACATGGGACTTGCCAACTTATGTCTCAGGGTGACGGGCGCGGTGGCAGTACCCAAATATTTGCAATTTAAAGCTCTGAGTGGCACTGCAACTGCTATGGACCGATGTGTCGCTTACCACCAGGCATACGACTTGTTCGTCCCGTCACAGAATGATATTAATACACAAGAACAAGTTATGATACTAATATCATAAAAAAAATAGTAAGTGTAAGTATGTGGAATGTGGTCAGAGAGCTATAAATATTTTTACATATCAAAAATACGCACCTGCCAAAGAAGCCATAAAACTAAGTCTCTTAACATGTTCAATATGAGAAGAAATTGTTACTTTATTAACTTTCTTCGTCAAGTTATCTACGTCAGTCTTTAAAGTTTCTACCAGTTCAGTGACGGTCATGCCTTTTTTCTTTTTACTAGTTGTATTTGCTGTTCTGTTTGTTTTTAACTTTGGTTTTGGTATGTCTGGTGTATAGGGTACCTTTTCAGTATATAATTTCTTTTTAGATTTCTTTTCTGTATTATTTAGGTCTTGTGTCTTTTGTTTTATATCAGAACTCGTCAAATATAGATGTTTATTTGTTTTTAAGTCATTTTGTATGTTCATAGATTCTGTGTCGCTATCATTGTCAAAGTCCAGTTTCTTTGTAATACCATTTATGTCGTTAAATCTATCAGATATGCTTTTTAATAGTGACGATTTCCAGGCATCTCCGTATAACCCATCTAAAAGTTTTTTCTGAGATTGTTGGATTTTCTTCAAAGAACATTGTTCTAAGGATTCATTGGCTTCGTCTGAAGGTGTGGATGGTACAGTTTGGTATCTTGGTGTAGCGCATATGATGCTTTGTGCTGGTGACCATCCGCCTATGCTTGGTTGGGATTCTTTTGCGTCAAATGAAGTTTCTTGTTGTGAGTGGTTGAATGATACCTGGAAATTATGATTAGGTTGTTGGTGGTTATAATCATAATTCTATTATTTCCATTTTATTAAACACTAGTCGAGTTTGGTGGTAAAGCAAGGATTATGGGCGCTAGAGGAAGAAGCCTGGGTTTCCATTCTCATTACGACATTTGGGAAACCAACTTTTGTGTTGTGGGCAGTGACCCAGAATTAATATTGTTGCTCTAGTCATAGTACAAGGAACTTCTTATGGAAGAGGTCTATATGAAAGGGCAATGAATAACTTGTAGAAATTTATATGTAAATAAGTCTGTAATAAAGAAGAAGAATTTTGTCAGCTATATAAGTTGTAGTTCTGGTGAAAACTCAAGTCTTCGATTAGTAGGATTTCGGCAACAGAATATAGGCAATATAATAATAATATGCCAGACAATTACACTGATTACCTATTCTCAAACTAGGAAATTCCCTGTACTATGAGTACCAGAGCAATGCAATCCATTCAGTTTCTGTTGTTCTGGTAGTCATACATCAAGATCTTAGGTTTTAAGATTGCTACATATTGGAAATGAAACTAATTTTTTTGAATTTAAAATCACTAATAGTCAACAGTGAGCATGAGACACTGGAGTCTGAAACGTTGGTTTGTTTGAAAATCAAGTCCTGCGACTTAAAATAGGGAAAAATATTTTTATTTCCAATTTACAGACAATAATAATTACTGTGGAAAAGAGGGCGTAAAAGTGAAAGTAAAAAGTTAACAAGTGAAAAAACAATTTTTTGCCTAATAGCAAAACATTCAGTAAATACATCAAACAGGTATAACATTTTTTCCAAAGTATGTTTATATCCCCTGCTAGTGCCCTGCTCGGAGAACTGGGAGGAGATCACAAAAGATAGGGTGCACTGGCACCAACTCATATTCAAGGCCAAGACCCACTTCAGATCGTTGAGCCAAAGGAAATAAGCAAATACTTTAATAAGAAGTAAATAAGAACTAAGTAAGTACATATGTAAATAATCTATTATTTATTATTAAGGCGTTTCAACCCTGAAGCATTGAAATAGTCTAATATTTTAAATTTTTTAAATTTAAAATTTCTTTTAATAACTGTTTATTTCAAATATTAATACAAGTTACAATACATGCAAGTCTTAAAATGAAATATTATTTATACTTTTGTAGTGAGTTGCGTCAATATATAGTTACAACAATTAAATTAATGACCAGTTTGTGTATGCCTCCTCTGACATTGCATCTTTCATGCAAAATCTTTTTCACTTGTTTTTGACTTGTATAGGCTTTTTATCTGTTATTTCATTTATAAAGTATATATTCAGTCAACCGTGACCATGGGACCTGTAAAGGGACCGAAACGTCGGTTTGTTTGAAAAAACAAATATACGCGATTTAAATGCGGAAAAATAGTTTCATTCCTATTCATTTATAAAGTTTTTTGGTAAGCTATTTAATATCACAGGAAGTTCACACATCCAAACTCTTTTACCACAATTATTGTTTTATTTAGGTATATCATACATAGGTAGATGTGATAATGTATGTAATGATTTCGGTCTAATTAAAATTTTTAACAACTTTATTTTTTCACAATTTTTGGTTATGATAGCTAATTTAACTTTATCAAAGACATACATTATGTTACAGTACTGAAATAGTTGGTCATAATTATCTTTAAATTTATATCTAATTCTAGAAGCTACAATGGTCTTAAGCAATCTTATTTGAAGGTTATAAATATTCTGTAGGAATGTTTTGTATGTACGACCATAGTTCGAAATACCAGAATTAATTATAGAGTCAGCCAGTGCCAAATATAACATTCTCAATGTATTGTATGGTATGATATCAACTAATAATAAAAAAATAAAAAATAAATTTATTTATTGAGACAACTGAGATCCAATCAAATGTTAGTAGGTACAGACTTAAAACTATATTAGTACTTATATTTTACCAGGGATTATGTATTAAGTGCCGCATAATTGGGCACTCATTCCTGTCAGCAACTGTCTTCAGGACGCTATTGGGGCTGTCACGTATTCTCTTTAGTAGCGACGCCGACTTTTTACGTACAACAGCCATAAAACTATCAACGCGCGCGTCAGTGAACATGGCTGAGGCACTGCAGAAACGTGACAGCCCCAACAGCGTCCTGAAGGCGTTGTTGTATTGCACGCACAGAGCATTCCGAGAGCACTGAGTGTAATTCTTCCACAGAGCGCTAGTGTACATTGGTGTGCAGTAAGCTTGAAACAATGTTTTCTTAACTGCTGCCGTACATCTGGCGAACCTGCAGGCAAGCATGTTTGCTCTCACCGAGAGTGCTCTCCGTTCGCGCTGTATATCCAGGTCATCCTTGAGGTCGTCGGTAACATAGTGTCCCAAGTATTTAAAGTGGCTAACCCTTTTTAACGGAGAACCATTAAGCAGTACAGGAAGTGCACACATAGGACTCTTCCTACCGGCGGCTCCAAAGATCATAAACTCCGACTTTTTAACATTATATAACAAGCCATGGGATGTTGCATATGACTCACATAGTCCAATTAGTTTTCTCAATGCACTGATCATTATAGTATATGTAATAAATATTCAATATATCAACTGCCTCCATGTCCGAATGGTTACCATTCTGGACTGCCATGCAAAGGTCCCAAGTTCGAATCCCGGGTCGGGAGAAATATTTGTAGGGCCTACATTTATTTCTCCCGTGAGTTTGAGTGTAATTTGTGGTTGTCTAATGTGTGTGTCCCTAGTGCGGAAGTATGTTGAGTGCAAATCTTAATTTATAATTATTAATACAAACATTGCACACAAAGAAAAATTCCTTCAATTTAACAGGACTTGAAACTGCATCTGTATGCCAAACTAAATTTTTTTTGTGTTCAATCTTTCTATTGATTATAACAAACTAGTGGAAGAGTAATTTCTCAATAAAATTAATTTAAATTTACTTACATTGCCTTTCTTACTGGGTTCCTTGTCATTCTTAGTAAAGCTATAATCCTTATTCAGTACAATCTCAGGTAGTTCATCATGAGAGAACTCACTTGAGTCACTTATTAATATTGGAGAGTAGATCTTGGGACTGGTGGTTAACTGCAATATTTAGAAAACGTATATGAAATGTGGCTATGAGCCAACAGCGTGTATCATTTCGACACTAGCTAAAATGAACACTATACTCATGCAAATTTTGTCAATTTTCTGATGCCAAATTATACCAAGATGCCAAATTATTGAAATAATTTATATCAAATTCCAAATTAAGAAAATATTAATAAATAGTAAATAATAGTACTGTCAGATGACAACAAAAATGATTAGAACCAGAACCAATGCTGATGTTAGAATTAAGAATGATTACTGTTAGAAGTAAGCATTAGATTTAACTTAGAATTAATTAAGAAGTAATCAGCGAATAAAGGCTATTTCTATTTTATTTTGAAATAATAGTACTGTAGTAAAAATCATTAATATACATATCTTAGAAAATTAAAAAGTTATTGCATGTTTGTCTTTTGTAATCTAAAGAAATAAACTGCAAGGTTTTTAAGTAAGCAGTGTTAATTGCTGGTATTGAATTTTTGTTCTTGTAAGTTGCATTATACCTTCATATATTTTCATATTACGGAAAATTTTAATTATATTAATATTTATATTACTATAAGAGGAGTTGCATCATTCAAACAAATCTGTTTAGAGTGTAAAGTAAAATTAAGTTTAATGCTTTTGTAACCAAATAAACAAACTTGAAAAAAGATTGTATGAAATGTAGAAACAACAAATTGTACACAAAATGCAAAAACATTTAATTTATCATTAAATTTCAATCACACCAACTATCTGGCCTAAAACTAGAGTATTCCCTGCAGTGTGAGCAATGAAATTAACTTTGGGGCATTAAACATAAGACTCAGGTAAAATTAGAAGTGTTGTTTACCGAAATTGGTCTTACTGAGAATCGACCCCGCGACTTCGGGTCGTATATAGTTCAAATATTGTATATCAAGTAGGTTCTACAGAGATTTGTTTGAACTTTGAACCTCTTATGAAATGTACAGACAAAAATAAAATAATCGATACCCACAGGTTTTGGAAAGTCTGCTCTTAATTTCTCAAAAGACTCGTCTAAAATGATGACATCGGAACTGCGGTTTAATTTTTTAGCTTCTGTTGTCACCTTCATGTGGTTTTTCTTCAAGGATAGCTTTAGAAACCCTGAAAAATAATAGGGAAAATAAAGTTACCAAAATGTGAATAGAACCCAATAAGTTCTTGTTATTTTAGCTTACTTACGGTTTCGATTAGTCGCAGTCTTTTTCCTCTCCATTATGTCGCTACACAATTGTTAATAAAAACTACAGAAAAGTAATTTTTTCTTAAAGAAATTCAAAAAGTAAACAGCCGTTTGAATTCAGCAGGTTTGACAAGTTAGTGTGACAGCTGATCAATTTTTTAAAATTATTTCATAACCTTGGATTCAAATGCTTTAATCAAAATATTAAATCAAGTTTGCCATTTACAAAATTATTAACTCCGCCATCTAGAAACTGTTTCATTACTATTGCTTCTACAAATACATAAGAGATGCCGCTGTCACATCGTAGTTAGCTTTGGTGTTCATAGATGGAGTTAGTATGTCTGAATTGCAATAGGTGATGGTAATAGTAGTAGTATTGTTTGTAGCATTGGTCATAGATGTCGGTAGCAGTATTGCTTTTTCCTACAAATAACGTTGAATTTTTTGTGCGTTATTTTGGTCGCGAGTAGCCGAAGTACTCTGATAGTAATTATAATAGCACTTGTCAAAAACAAAACCTTCAAGATTCTTTCGTTTTACGCAACGACGACGGTTGGCTTTACATCGTCAAACAACTGGGTCAAAGACGAAATTAAATTTTTAGAAAGATGCACTTAGATCAAAATCTGAGATATATAATGAAATAATAGCACTGATAACAAAATCTATTTGCATAATTTACTTTCTGCTGCAAAAATGAGTCACTCGTATGTACGCATGGCGGGGTTCTATAGAGAATTAAGAGAACTTGAAATTTAGCAGATCAAGATAGGTTACGCAATAAACCAACATAAATTGTAGGTACTCTACTTACCAGGTGATAATTTTTGTAGTTATTCAGTTAAATATATATCTTTATTAATTTATTTGATAGGCTGTTGTCGATTTATAAATGCGATAAAAAATAAAATTTATTTATTGGGCATCAAATGCTCTCGTTCTCCGTCTGACACTCACCGAAACAATTAATGCCAAATAAGAAATACTCAAACTCTTCAAATTAGATGTTTGTAGAAGTGCAAGCGTTGCAGTGGCGCGTCTATTCGTGTATTATTTGGTAGCAGTAGAGCTCCTTGTGGAAGAGTACGTCCAGGGTAGTACAGAAACAGGTAAGGTGGCCCTTACCTGTTTCTGCCGCCAAGCATAAATGTAATGTCAGCATTGCTGTGTTCCGGTTTTGAAAGGTAAGGGTGAAGTTACAGCCACTTGGGACTTGGCAACTTATGTCTCAGGGTGACGGGTCCAGGGGAAGTGCCTTTTTTTTTTTTTTTTAATTTATTTTCCAAAACAAAAATATACATTGGTTCTTAAATCTAACCTACCTACTGCAATCCCTATAATGGGTTATCAGGCGCATGATGATGTTCGTTCCGTCTCTTGATATTATAAAAAAAACTATATTGTATGAAAATTAGTCGCGGCGGGACTGCAGCGTCTAATTTGTAGACGCCCTAACAATGTGTTACATTTTGTCTTTGCTTCTCTTAAAAAAAGTATCTAAGGTTAGTTATGCTGGTTTGACATACACGATCTCCTTTTCTAGACTCCGTTTCGGCGTCACTTTCTGACTCAAAGTGAATCAGCTATTATGAGAAGCCTTTATCCTTTCCTTTGTCAACAGCTTCCAAACGTCCTTCAAGGGTCAACACTGCGCCCAATCTTCTTTTGAGTTTTTAGGGCTGCTCCAAGTTGTGACCTACTTAAACGTGGCACTTTCTAAGGTGGTTATCAGATGATCCGAGATAATAATTATGAATTTAAAGGCTAAGGCAAACATTACGGTAGTTAATATGTTTATTTATGAACGGAACGCGGAGAATAAAATTAAAATTACTCAAGCGTCAGTGTTTGGTATGAACAATTTAAATTGGAGGTATTGCATAAGCAACATCCAATAATTTCCCTACAAGGCGACTTATAAATAGATTGATTATGTGATGCTGGCAATAGTTCAAATTTGTATATAGTGTATGTTTATGCCCGTAAAGTAAGATTAAATTGCTACATACCCTTAGGTTATATAAGTTTTACATAGTTACTTAGATAAGCGAGGTCTTTTAAGGATTTAGATTTACGTCATCCATTATTCAAGAATTACCCTTGTCATTGCAATTGTAATGACCTTCTGGCACACAATTTACTTTCACTTTGGTTATTTTTAGCTTCTCAAGATGTAATTACGATCTGAGATGTAAGCACCGAAGTATCTAATGCTTACTTGGTTTGCGATTCATTATATTTTTATATAACCTTAAGTGGTTTCTTTGCTTAGGTAAGTTTCGAGGTCTGGAAACCGGTTTCGTATTGTCACCCTTATTAACTCATGTTTTACCCTTGCCCTTCAGTTTGACGCATGCGCTGTAACAATTCTCGCGTGTCACGCCGGAAAATGGCGTTCGCTTCTGAAGTAAATTGCATTTATTTCCCGACGCCGTACATCCCGCCATTTTGCAGTGTTTTCTTCCATTATTTGGACTAATTATGTAAAGTGAACTTGGCAGTTTTAATTTTCAGAGCTGATCTTTATTTCTATACGTCCAGTTTGCATAGGTCTTTGAGTAAGAATAATCGATTGCGGTGTTATTTAGTACTGAAGGTTCAATTTAGGTTGGGCTCAGCTGTTTTGAAAAATCGAATGGTCCCTCTCAAATTCTGGATACGTCAGTCTGACGTCAGTTATCGTACTGTGCGGACGAATAATCTCGACCATGTAATGGTGAGTGAGAAACTAGTGAAAATGTTACGAAATAGTGACTTAGATACATAGAAATTAGTGTTTTTTTTTGTTTGAAGTGGAATGCCTATTAAGTATTAAAGTGTTTAGTGGATGTTGTGTGTAGTTTAAACAAAACATTTTTGTTTTAAATGTTAATTCGCACATTTGTATTGGTTAAAATTTTATTTTCTAGAAATTTTTCTTAAATGGTGTTTATTAACTGCGGCAATTGGCTTTTCACATTAGCAATGTAGAAAATCAATATTTTTTTGTGGCATACAGTGAATGCCAATTACTGACCACGTGGGTCAAAGTACAAACATGCTATGTTAGGTGGACATTATTAAATACTTATCTGCTTTTTATCTAAATGTATCTCTGTAGAGACACAGCGTATCATTAATATGATATATTTCATTAATATGCCTACTTAATTAATAGGTGATTAATAATTAAATATGATTATCTAAGAAAATAAGATATATGATAAATAAATAAGATAATAAATAAAATTTTATCGCGATTATTATTTAAAACTAAAAGAATGCATATACAGTAAAAAACAATATAAAAAGTTATACTTAGTAATGTTTCACGTGCAAAATGATGGGAGCTATCAGACTTTCATTTGAAGTTCATAAAAAAATAGCGGTATAAAAAGAAAAAAATATATATTTTAACAAAAAAAATGAAAATGAAAGAATGGCAGCGGTGGGATTCGAACCCACGCCTCCGAAGAGACTGGTGCCTTAAACCAGCGCCTTAGACCGCTCGGCCACGCTACCGCTTGCTGTGGCAGTTGAAATTACTATACCCTTTGCACGTAACATTAACAGGTTTATTTTTGACCATTTTGAACGCTTATTTTAAATGCGTTGTATGTCACCGAACTGGAAAATATTCTTATTTTCAAAGTCAAAGTCAAGGTGTAACGGTCTGTGGTCAAAGTGAAACTAATTTTATTGGCCGCTTCAGTGCTATGTCGGATAGATAATTTTGTACCTGGAACAAGGTACAAACTCAAGCAAGTAAGGTGCAGCTTTAATTATATTATAGTCCACTGCCGGGCATGGTCGCAAAACATCTTGCCCAAATAAAATATATACGCTGTACATTGATTCTATGAATAATATGATAAATAATAATGAATAACTACGTAAATAATCTTGAAAACACTAATTAGGATATTGAGATTGAAAGATACACAAAGGATGGACATCATCAATTTGAAAAGATAGGTAATATCCTATCTTTTTAAATTGACAATGACATATAATGTATTTATAGATAGATACTACGTATTTACGACCCTGTTATCAAACGATATATCTGTTATTATTAAAAACACTAGGTATTTATTTTACAAAAAACTGTGACAGTGGCTCATCTCTGTCCAGAAATCGAGTAAATTTTTTTCCTTGGTTATATCTTGGTTATTGCTAATCTGGTATCTGGTGCTCGATGTCTGGTTGGCTGGCTTTATATATTTTTCGGTTTCGCGCCATTTTTTAAAATTTATTGTTATTTTTTTATATAACATCAAGTGACGGAACGAACGATCGTGCACCTGATGGTAAGCTACACGCCTGTCCATAACAGTTACAGGGCCATTCAGAGCTTTAAATTGCAAAAATCTGAGGGGCACTACCACTGCCCGTCATCTTGAGACATAAGTTGACAAGCTCCATGTGCCTGTAATTTCCCCAGCACTCTTACCCTTCAAAACCGGAACACAGCAATTCTCACATTACTGCTTGGCGGGAGAAATAAGTAAGGCGGCAGTACTTCCCTGGACGAACTCTTTCACAAGGAGCTCTGCTGTTACTAATAACGTTACGTGTTACGTGTATTCTGTTTTGTGAAAGCGGGACACTTTTAAGTATTTTGGGACAGCGCAACACGAAACCTAAAAGCGGGACGTATGGTCACGTTATCTATGTGCCAAGTTTTATTGAAGTCGATCGACTGAAAGGGGGTGAAATTAAAAAAAAACTGTATTCTCCCTTAAAAGTGGAAAATCTTCTCGAAATTTGAATAGGGCGACTACTACTTTAAACTTTAAACAAAGACACAATAAACCTATGCAAACTAGAGTGGTCTATGAAAGCAAGGAGGTCGGTGAAACAATGACAGTAAAGTTCTTAGGTTTATATATAGATAATAATCTAAAATGGCAAACACACCTAGAATATGTAT